GGTGGAGAAATATGTGTTTGAAAAAATCAATTTCTTAATGAAAAAAAAGGAACTAAACATTTTCACATATTTTTCAACAATTGGTATCAATTTCATTAAACATTTTATTAAGGGGGAGTTTTCCCAAAAATAATTTTTCAAATGTTTTGTTATATCAAAAAAGGAGAGATTGTTTAACTATATTTTGATATAACAATTAGGGCAAAATGTTTTTGGACTTGAATTGAATTTATTCAAAGTTTTAAAAAATAATTCAAAGTCCTTAAAACTTGGAATTGAGCACAAAACAATTTTCTGGACAAGTAGTACCGATACTGTTCTTACAGTATTGATACCAATTCAACAAGTGTCGATATTGTTCATGTGGTACCGATACCAAAGGTAAGGGAAGTATCGATACTCACTAGGTAGTACCGATACTACCAGCTTTGCTCAAATTTCAGAATGCAAAAATGGTATCGATACCCAAAGGGGTACCTATACTACTATGTATAGTAGTACCGATACCATTGCCATAGTATCGATACCATCAAGCACCAACGGCTAGTAACGACTAGTTGATTTAAATATAACAAAGGTAGTACCGATACTCCCTTTAGGAGTACCGATACCCCTTAGTCTGGGCAACTTTATTTTGCACGAAAATTGATCCCCAACGACTCCAAACCACCTCCAACAGCTAGAAACGGCCACAATAGCATTCCAACACATATCCAAGCAATCAAACACAAGATAAGAGCTTTACACTCTTTATTCCAATCTCTTCTAAATATTTTGTTATTGTTAGCTTTTAATTTGTAAACATCTTCATTTTTAGAGGTTTTATTGTTTACATTCTTTTCCTTTTGTAAAGGGTTTTTGGTTCTATCTTAGCCAATTGAAAAGATAGGGTGTTGTAAATGTTATCTCTTTATCCTTGAAAAAGAATGAACAAATTAAAGAATTTGCTAGAAAATCCTTAATGAGGAGCTAAGGTAATGGATGTAGACTTGGTTTATAAGTCGAAGCACTTTAAATCCTTGTGCCAAATTGTCTCATCTTTTTGTTCTCCTTACTCCCTAAATTCAATTTTATCAATTAAACCTCTTTGCACTTTTTCGGTTGTAAATTGAGCCTCTTTATAATCCCAACAGGGTTGACTCTATCCGAGTTGACTCAGTTCCTCGGACTGGGTTGACTCGATCGGGTCAAACAAACACGGTTCAGACCAGTTCAAGTCGGTCCAGATTTGCTGGATCGGTTCTAGAAGAAACCAGAGCTGGGGACCCACTCGCACTGCCGATGCTTGCAGCAATGACGGGGGTCAGGGACAGTAGGCAAGCACTCCTCGTTCAATCACTTGCCTAACCGTCGACATTGACCCCACCCACCGGTCGGGTTTTGAGCAGACGGAGGTGGGGAGTGCAATAATGGCGGTCGTGAGCCAAACTAGTGTCTAGACTGGCCAAAATCGGGGAAAAAGTAGCAGCGACGCTAGGGATTGGATGAACTATGGCACCGAACGACCTTAGGGGTTTTGGTCGGGCTGACAAGGCGTGACGTTTGGGATGGGCGGTGATAACCACCAGTCAACGAATGTTGGGGTCCGAGATAGGTTGCTCGACGATGTTTTCTCCATTTCTCGCGACAATCGACAATCGATTCGATAAATTTAGGGTCGGGAATGGGTCGCAAGAGGCTGTCGGTTAGTCTAGTGGTGTCAAACACTGTAACGACGATAGGAGGTCGACGAATTGGTGATTGAAGGCTTGAGGATAGGGACTTGTTTAATAAAAATTGGGTTTAGGGTTAGGGAATTCACGAGCACCAGGAGTTCTGGAAAATAGGTTAAAACCCAACATAATTAATATAAAATAAATTTTTAATACCTTAAGTTAGTAACAGTGTTCTAGCCTGGCTGTAGAGGCATGCCTGGCCACTCCATGGGTTAGGAGTTCAAATCCCTCCAACTATCTATTATTTTATTTTTGATGATAGGAGGGTTATGGGTAAATTACGGGGATAGACCTTGAACTCTTTACATATTCAAAAATTGACCTAAAATTTTTAGAAATTTCTATTTTGGTCCTTCGATTAAATTAAATAAATTATTTATTTTCTAATTTAAATTCGGGGTATGACAAAATTATACAATGCTTTCCTCATCCTGGACTCTGAGCTTCCATTTATCAAAAGAATCATATGGTATTGGAGGAGAACTATTTTCGTATGGGTCAATATGACATTGTTTACGACGGAGGTACTGTTTACATTGGTTTGCTGTAGACCTTTACTCCTTCCAAGAACACATAGGAGAGATGGTTCTGCTAGGAGCACGCTGATACGGAATAGTCAAAGAGCACTGCAAAGTTGAAAGGTAATCTTGTAATTAAAGATTTACCATATCTTTTTTCTTAACAAATCACTTATATTTTGCCTGTTTAGTGGTTTTTTTTTTTTTTGATAAATTAAATTTTATTATCCAATCAAGCAGAGTTCTGCTACAAAAAAAACATCCCAACCAAGGAACAAAAGACAAACTTACTTGCAACAAAAAATGGTTAATCTATACCCCAATAATTACAAAGATAAGTATTAACATTATCTAGTCTTAATATTTCTACCTCTAAGTTGAATTCCAACAATCTCCTTAATGGAGTTCAAAATCTCTTCAACGTTCGTGACCTTCCTTTGAACAATCTTCTGTTTCTTTCTTCCCAAACAGAGTAGATGAAAGTACACAAAGCAATCTTCATGATAGTAGTAAGGAGGGATTTACCTTTCCAAGCTCCACAAGCCCAAACTAGCATGTTATCTCATGACATAGGAGGTCTGCTCAAGTCAGTGAGGTTCAAGATAGCCTTCCATAGGGAAACAACCAAAGCACAATCAGCAAACAGGTGGTTCCTTGTTTCAAAGACTTCATTGCATAAAACACAAAAACCATCAGAAGTAATTCCCATACGTATAAACCTCTCCCTTGTTGGGAGTCTGTCCAAAATTACCATCTAAGAAATCATGTTGAATTTAGGGATGTGGAGGGGAAACCAAATCAATTTGTGTCAAGGAACTTTGTCTCCCTTGACCCATATATCTTTAGTCTTCATTGATTCTTCATATAAAATAGGGAGAGCCTCTGTCCTTAGTTTCAAAAGTCTCTTGATGCACCAGCTAAAAGAAGCACTTTCATTCATGTCTCTAAAGTCTTTACTCTTTATCACATAGCAATTGATCCAAGCAAAATATGTTATTTCCTAGGTTTATCATGTACAAGATCTCTCTTTCCTTATGTTCGTTGCATACGACGTATGTCTCATGATTCAAATGACTAATATCAATCTCTTACATCTCGAATATCAATCGAGATTAGATTTTTTGATATCGATGCATATGAACAGTTTATTTGGTTAATCGGCAGTAGATTTTTCATGACATGCATGCAGTAATCATGTGCTTATTGAACAAGAATGCTCCGAACAACCTTCCCGAGGCGTTGCAGACTATGAAATGCATATGGAACATGGAGCATGAAACATGTGATCTTCAACTACTTCTTCCGAGGAAAACGTGCTTTTAATTAATTTATTAAGAACAAGTGTGTTGGTTAGGATAAGTTTGAAGTGCCTACAATCAAAGTCTTTTTGCTGAATTTCGAAATTAATTCAAGAAACCAAGGTGCTGAGAATATAAATCAACTGCTTTCAGAACTTGGCAGTTAAGGGGTAAAACAAAGGGACCAATAGGGGTATTTAAAATTCGGTTTTAACTGAATTAACCGATCGAACCGAACTAATTCGGTTAATTCGATCAGCCACCTAATTAGTTCGATCGGGGAACGATTAAGGTTTTTTTTATATTCGGTTAACGATTAATTCGGTTCGAAATCGGTTAATTAACTGAATTAACCGAATTAACCGAAATAAAATTAAAAAAATATTATATATATTATATATAACATATGAGCTCAGCCCAAATCATTTAAAACTCAATTAATAATTTAAGATCCAATAAATTTTAAACCTAAATCAATATTAATTAATTAAAAAAATTATATGAAATTTTTATTTTATAATTATATATTATTTAAATTAATTATAAACTGTTTTTTTAATTATAAAATATTTAATTTTTATATAAATTAGAAAATTTTAAAAATTTTCGGTTAATTCAAAAATTAACCGAAATTTATTCGGTTCACTTAATATTTTCGAAAAAAAGTTCGATTCGATTAACGGTTAAAGAAAAAAAAAGTTTGATTAATTTAGTTAATGGTAATTCGATCGGTTCGGCCACCGAATTAACCTAATGAACAATCCTAGGGACCAATACAGATATGCAGGGGCCATATCGTATAGAAGTTCCTTGTACTATGCGTTTTTTATGGACTTAGTCCCTTATTATATAGTTAAATTATTTTTTTCTATTTTTGAAATCTTGGCTTTTAGTACCAAGAATAATTTTTATCGTTAATTTTGTCAAGTAATTCGATGAATTATTTTTTTGAACACGTGATCTGATACATACTAGGCAAAACTTGAACAGTTTTGACAGATTTTGCACCCATCCGCCATGAATGACAGTTCTTCTGGGGTAAGCTGTATAAATGGTCCTTGAATTGTTATAGTATTTGCATTTTGATCATTAAACTTTTAAAACTTGACAATATATTCAGTGAATTTTTAATTTTCTTTCATTATGGTCACTATAATCAGTTACCATTAAGAAATATTGATATGATATGTTAGTCATTTTTTTAACGACACCCTAATTTTTTTGAATTTGAAATTGTCACCCATTGCTTCTTTCATTGTTGTTATTTGATGATTTTCTCGATTGAAAAGAATATTATATTACTATTTTTTCTTTTAATCGGTCCAAACTTGTTTGCAAATCTTCTAAATTTCATTCAAAACTAAAAGTTAGATTTTTTATAACTCACTAGATCAACATGAAATTGAATTATATTAATATTTAAAAACACAGCAGTAATGAGCCGAACACCATTCTTCTGTTAATGATAAGTACATGCCTTGTAAAATCGCCATCTTTCATTTGCAATACTAACAATGGTCAATGACTCCAATTCTATCAGTCATAATATATAGTTTTGATTTGCAGAAAATAATTTAACCTGAATTACGTGAACTCTTGAGGAAGGAAGCACTCTTGGTTATCTCCCTCAATGGCTTGTCAGTGTACCTCACCATGTTATAAACCCAGGCACCCGACACCGCCCCGAGTGTCGGTGCGGTGAGATATATCCATATCCCTTTGTAGTGATTTGACACAATTGCAGGTCCCAAGCTCCTTGCCGGGTTCATCGATGCTCCTGTAATTGGCCTGTTGAATACAGTATCTTAAAACATCAGCATAAAGGCTCTGAACACTGAAGTAATATGTTTTGAAACTTGGTTCCAAATTTAGAATTTGAACCATAATTTGAGGATATATAATATGCAATTAACCCATAAAGTTAAAAATACATTTCAACTATGATTATTAGAGACTTGTGAGTCGAGAAGAGAACAAATTAGAGTAATAGAAATAGGCAAGTGGGTTAAGGAAAAAGTTAAAGTACCCTGCAAACATCACATTGAGCAGCACAGTAGCGCCAACGGCAAGTCCAGCAAGTTCTCCAATCTGTACATAAATAAATGGCAACTTCTTCAATACATATAAGATTTGTAAAATTAATTTGAGATTTGAATTTCGTCATCTTCGACTTTTCTTCTGTCTTTAGGCATCGAGGTGTCGTCGAAAAACCGGCATACTAAAAAAATATGTTGATTATTCGACGGCATCGAAAGGTAACAATGACTTGATGTTATTAGTGCGATATGCTCTGAGAAGGCGGAACTTACGGCTCTGTTATCAGTTGCAACGCCGGAGATAATGAACATGAGATAAAAAGTGATAATGAATTCGACCACGAACGCCTGCAAATCGGACCCTTGAGGCGACGTTCCGGCAAACACGTCGTGGGGTCCACTAAACAACAACCGGAGTGTACCAGCAGCCAAAGTTGATCCAGTAACTTGAGCCAATATATAAGCAGGCACCTATACAAAAAGGAAATCAAAATTAAGCACTGGAAATCTCTGCACAAAACAGAGCATTTGAAACACAAATTAGATCATGGAAATTGTACCTGTCTGACAGGGAATCTTCTGCAAGTAGCAAAAGAAATGGTGACGGCAGGGTTGAAATGAGCACCGGAGATGTGACCGACGGAGTAAACCAAGACCGTCACGGCCAATCCCCACACTATAGAAATCCCAGGAAGTGAAACCACTTTATCGTTGTTCACATTCACCACAACCGATGCACAACCGGCAAATATCAAGAAGTATGAGCCGAACAACTCCGCCATCAGCTGCAAATCGTAAAATACAACAAACCCATACTCATCATCATACAACAAACAACACAATAATTACATATGAAATGATAGATCCATAGATAAATAGATACCTTTTGTATGAAAGATACAGATAGACCGATATCGGGGTCTTTTCTTTTGGGAGGCGGTGGAGGAGGAAGATGGTTATTTATTTCATCATTTACATTCAAAACTACCTCATGGTTTCCATTTGTAGCAGAGATCTCAGCCATGGCAAGAAAAATTAGGGTCTTTGTCGCCTCGACTACCAGGGGACAAGTGTTGTGCAATAGCCTATCAAAGCCAGGCAGTTTAAGGGTCAGCTAAGGGAGACAAATTTGATTTTGACTATGAACATATTCATTCCATGCTGTCTATATAAATAATTATCTGACTCTATGGACTTTGGAGATAACGATGTTATGAACAGACAGAGAGAGAGAGAGGGAGAGGAGAAGCATCTAAGGCTGGCTGAATTCATGTAAGTTCAACTACCCACCTGTTACACAGAAAGTCATGAATGCCAACCGCTACAAGGGTTATGTCTCAATTTTCCTTTTATCCTTTTTTTTGGGGAAATGTTTAATGTATTAAAGCTGACAGCCACGCTATTCTCCAAATGATAGCTTTATTTTATGTTTATCCATGGAGGATAATCATCTTCACTCGTTTAATCATTAATTTTGTTAACTAAACTGTTAAATATTAGATATAATTTTATATAATAATAATTTTTTAATATATTTGATTGAAAATAATTCAAAAAATTTATATATATAATAATATTTTTTTTGTTGTCCTTCTGGTTCTAAGATTTTATCCTTATTAATTCGGACCGATCAGGTCTCATACTTGATTTTGGGGTGAGTCTCCCAATGGTGATTTTTTACATACACGATGAATCGAACCCGATACTTTACTTAAGCGATATCAAGTTGCTTACCATTAAATCAACCCTAATATATAATGGTCTATTAGTAATCTACAAATATCTATATTTCACTTCTTTTTAAGTATCAATACGATACAAGTTTAATAAATTTTTCTCCTTATTATAGTCGTGATATATAATCATAATAAATAACATATCTCATCCTCGTTAATATTAAAATATTTAAAAATAAATAGACAAACACTATAAACCGTATGATATCCCAATTTTACATATAACTAACTTATTAGTCAATAGCTCACTAATTAAATTTATAAAAATATCAAAAAAAATATTATTATTCATTATCGAGTTAACGTATATTATCAATATCGGAAGCAGCGTTTAGCTTGATTTTACACAACAAGTAGTAATCATTACATTTTTACTATGATATAATATTTTAACCTATAAAGTTAAAATTATAAAATTATTCGTTTTTTAGGATTTAAGCCCAATATTTAATCACATTGACGTCAAGGATAATCCAAATCTGCTCCCAAGGATTAGGGGGATCTTGCGTGGGACTTATGACATTAGCCTAATCACAGCCTTAACAAGTAATCTAGGTTTTCACACCTTAATAATACTAATGCCTAATACACCTAAAACTTCAAATTAACTTTTGGTGTCTAATATTTTTTTAAGATAATTTTAGGTGTCTACTGTTACAAAAATCATTGACATATGTCATGTTTATTTTTATTATTAATTTTTAAAATTAGAAATACTATTTAAAAATAAAAAAATCTAGAATTGACACATGTCACTTAACGATCCGTTTTAACGGTAGACACTTAATAGTATTATCATAACCATTTTTTAAAAAATAATTAAGTTTAAAAAAATAATTATGACTTTATTTTTGAAGAAAAAAATTGACGATTTTTAATTAATTTGAATTAAATGGAAAGGGAATCGTCATCTACCTTTGAGTTAGGTAGATCAAATACCTAAAAAACGTCTTTTAAAACTATTTTAAGAAAAATCGTTTTTTAAGACAAAATTTAGTCTACGTTTTCTAGAAATTCGATTTAATAAGTCCGAGAGTTAATTACATGTGAGAAAGATAAACACCCCGCAACACCCAAAAATTGATACTTAGTCTTTTACACATTGTCGTAATGGTGAAAATTATAAATCGAATATAAAATTTAAATATGATCTCTTTATTAAAGTTTAATTAATTTGCTTCGAATTATTTATTAGGAAACATTCCTTAATTCTAGAAGAAATCACGAGATTTACACATCCTCCAATGAAAAAGTTATCTCGTCTATTTCTCTTTTATCCAAAAAATATTCCCCCAACTCAAATATAAATTAAAAATCGACATTTGCATGAAATAAAATAAATTTCTATTGAGAGACATTCATTGCATTGTTCAACTTAAAACAAAACTAAATTTAATTAGCAAAATAAAATCGATTTATTTCAAGTTCACATTTTGTTCAAATATCATATTGGATCGCACTACTTCGATTAAACAATGTTTTTCACGCCCATTCTACAAATTGATGTTCTTGAAAATATTCAAATAACTTAAACATTTTTAATCGAGTATGAGAGACACAATATTGATACAAAGGTTGATTTATAAATTAAATTAATATGAATGAGATAAAATAATATAATGAAATAAACAACATATAAACATACAGGAATTTAAAAAAATTATATATATATATATATATAATATAACATAAAATAAAACATCTAATAACATAAAAAAACATATTTAATTAAACGGTTTGAACTAAGGTAATAAAATGACATTAAATAACAAAATAACTAAATCATAAAAGGACAAAATAATAAAGCATAAATATGTAACGAACAATATAATTTCACTTACAAAACCAAAACAGTTATAAAAAATGAGCTAAAAGTGAAATCTAAGATCTATGATACAAACTCAAAATTTATTTTTCTAAAGTAATATTTAAGGACGGGAACAAAAGACAAATAAATTCAGGAACCAAATCATAAATATTGATAAATTCACTACTACACAAATAAAGATCTAAATGAAATAAATCATGAATCAATAGCCTAAAATAGACATTAAACCAAATGTATATTAAAGAATATATTATGACTAAAATACAAACAATCAATACTTGAAGCTAGAAATTAAAAGATTCAAAGCTCTATTCAGTGATTAAAATGTAAAATTGCAAAATGCAAGTCCAGATTTAAACATCCACGAAAATGGTAAAATACAAACGGTAAGGACTTAAATATAAACAGAGAAAAATATATGCCCAAAACAAGATTTCATAAAGCTTCATTAATGACCAAAACGTAGACATTACAAATAAAGAGGACCTAAAGTGTAATGTTCCCCAAAATTGAAAAACAAGGGGGAGATTAAAAATCAACGAGGACCAAGACTGCTATTATCCCCAAAATATGAGCTCGATCTCCCCTATGTGACGTCGTTTTTAAAACAGATTATAAGCCTTAGTTTAGGCTTTAACAAACCCTAGCCTCACTCTCATTTCTCCCTCTCTCAACAACAGACCATAAGACCTTTGGGGGGAGAGTTCTTCCCAGCCTCACCGTCATGGGAGGCGACCCTAAGTCCCGACCACCATGAATCGATGGCCACGAGATACAAAACCAACAAAAAGGCCTCCCCAATCGAAACCTCTCGCTACCAAACACCTAAAATCCACCCTAAAAGTAACCCTTGTCCGAAAATGGAACCCAAGCCCCTAAAAATTTACCTTTGACAACAAGGTTCTTCTGCTCCGGTGAAACAATCAATGGTCGAATCTAAGCCAAGGAAAAAATTTCTTCTCCTCTAGCTCTCTTTTTCTTCCTTGTTTTTTCTTTCATTAGAATCTTTTTTTTTCTGTTGTATTTTTTTCTTTCTGTTTCTTTTTCTTTTTTTCGAAAACTCTCATTCCCGAATGCCCCCCTTCTTTTCAGGTTCATCCTCTTCTTATTGTTGCTTTTTGGGTGACTTGTGGATGTTGATGTGGTTCCCAAATCATAGGGGGTTCCCAGATCATAGGGCATAAATGCCCTATCTCTGTTCGTGATAGGCTGGATTTGCCTCGAGTTTTTGCTGCTAGCATGTTAATATACTATTATTATTTTTTTGATTTTTATGTCATTTTTCACTGTTGATGGACTGTTTTGACTGATGGGAGTAGTTTTTATCACTGTTCAACTAGATTTTTTGACTGTGGCGGCGTGGAAGTTGTCAGTGGTAGCTCACGCAAAAGAGTTGAACGGTGGGGTGCACACGCCGATTAGGGAGCTGAAGAGTCGGGCGCGTGCATCACACGAGCCGTCGACAGACATCCCTTCTTTTGTTGGCGGTGGTGGCAACAGTAGAGAAAAAACCCTAATGTGACGGGTTCTCTTGTTGGGCCGGTTCGGGTCGGATACGGGTCTAAACAGCTGGGCTCTGCTTGGGTCAAATTCTAGGTGGGCTTGCATCTGATTTGTTAATGGGCTATGGTTAATACTGTAATTTTGGCTCCATTTTCAAGCCTACAAAATGTAATTAATTTTTAATAATAATAATAATAATAGAGAAAACATTAAAAATCAAAATTTAATTTAAGATATAATTTAAGCACTTAAAAATATATTTATATATTTATTCCCTTAATTCCATATAATCCGCATGGTAACAAGATTCCAGATGATGGGGTGACCATAGAGAACATGAATATTTATTTGTTGAATATTTAATTTAACTAGTAAAATTAAATTTTATTATATGTTCTATTTTTTTATTTTTTATAAAACATAAGATATGTGTCATTTTAGCGCGTGTGTATATATATATATATATGAATTATATAGTTTATAATAATTCAATGTGAAAGGTATAATTGAAGGGGAACATAAGCTGAAGGCGGTGGCAAATGCCTAGGGAAATGGAAATGGAAATGGAAATGGAAAAGGAAAAAATATAAAAATAAGGCACAAGAAGCCTAGTGCTTATTATTATGATTGTATTGTTTTGTGTTATAGATTTAGTTTGGATATATTTTTTGAGAAAGATAAAATGGGTTTGGATAATTTAAACTTTTTACAAAATGATTAGTAATTGGTATTAGAATTTTTGCTCCAACATCTTTTTTGATACTTAATTTTGTACAAAGATTTTATATCAAAGAAAGTTGTTTAAAATATTAAAAAAATGAATTAGAGATGAAAACGGAAGAAAAGTATGAGAGATATTACTTCAAAGATATTCTATTTATTATCAGTTTGGTCGCAACGGTATTTTACGCGGTACCTAAATTTTACCTTTTATTGAATCTTAGTCTTAGTAGAGATTCACTTAAAAGAGTTTAAGAGTCG